AGTGCCTATCAGTGACCTTTAGAATTTCTGGTCTGGAGCCGAGAGGAAGCACAGTAGCTGTGAGAGGAACCAATTTCTGATTAATTTTGTAGATATAATAATGGATTTAGTTAGGCTTCTGCTTGCATTTCCCCCTTGGCACTCTATGTGAGCTTGCTAAGCTATGTCCATTTCCATTGACTCCAAAGCTCATATTTCTCACGTTTATTGTTGCAGCCCCAATACATGGCTACCACTACTCAATCAAAAATATTACTTGTCATTAAATGCAAGAGTAATTATGAGAAAAAGCATGACTCTGTGGCCGAAGGAGTGTGCTGCCCTCCTTTGGGAATGTCCAAATGCAGGTTCAGCGTGGATGCAACATTTACCAGGCTTTCCAACAAAGGAGTTAGTGCTAAGGCTGAAAGCTCCACCATTGCTACAGCTATTTGTACAGTTCAAACTGTAGCCTATTTTTAAATCCCTATATATTAACTGCAAGATAATGTGGTATACCATATGCTATACATGAAAAGGTCTAATATGTATTTGCATACAACCCACAAACTGAACCAGTTAGCCCATATCTGTTCAGCACACACTAATCTGCGATTTTAAGGGTGATGGTGAGGAAAACTTGACACCACATTTGCACTATATCCTACTTTTTGTAGGATAAGGAAAAAATGTGTTGTTTTTTTTTTTTCATTTCCCTGTATTTCTCTCTCTCTTGCTTAGGTTAAAAAAACCGCAACACATTTCCTACTGCTGCCTCTGTCTCTTGTCCCACTGGCCTGAGTCTGTCAGTTCTGTAATTAAAATAATAATAAATGCTGCTATTTCTTTTTTAGTCTGGGTATTTGGGAGGTAGCCAGACTCATGGTTCTGCAGGAGTAATGCTTCATATAACTTGGCAAGAACAGACCTTTGTGGATATATCTGCAGTTTGTATAGAAATAACTTCACCCACATAACGGCTGATTAATTAGACTTGAGGCAGTGCAGATGAGTTGAAAAGTAAGGAGAGGAGAAACCCACGACTTCCAGCGTAGAGCCATGCTGAGAACAATAGTTTCTCCCAAACCTCACGGCTGCTAATCCCGTCTTTGGGCTGTCCAAAATATTTCTATTATTCCTAATAAAATGTGAAACAATTCCAATGTAAGACAGCAGCAAAAGCAAAAACTGGAATTCAGTGATAATATTAATTTGATGTAAAAAATATAAATGCTATTTATAATACGGCATTTGACCTTGAACAAACACTGATGAGGTAGAATCACATATAGTTAATTCAACCCCCAAAATTCTGCTTTTTTATCTGAAAATTCAAAGGGGAGGAGGTTAGGTGTTAGGTTATACATGCTTAGTTATCACTGCACCCCCTGCAAAGTCTGTGCTTGTCATTTAGACTGTGAAATGAACTCTGCACCTAATATAGCATAAAGAAACTCCAAGCACAAGCTTTATTACCCCAGGAATAAATAACTAGAGAAACAGGATCAGACTGTATGTTTTACATTTTCCATATGATGAAAAGTATTCAGGCCAAGAAGTGAACACTGACACTTCTCAAAAGCTAGAGGAAAACTGAAAGGGGAAAAAAGGAGAGAGAGAATAAGAAAGGAATGAGATAACAGAAAAAAAGAAACTGGATATGCTACAACAGTAAAATACAAAGAAAGGCACCTTAAGTAAAAAGCATATGAAATAAGGAAAATGAAAATCATGTGAAGATGAAATGAAACTGAAAAAAAAAAAGTAATCCCTTTTTAGAGAGCTTTGTGCTCAATTCCACACAATATAGAATATCAGTGTTCCTTTGCTTCTAAGTCCCAGATCAAATTCTTCCAGGAGAACCACAGGACACACACCACAGATGCCAGGCAGCCAAGTAAAAGTGAAGCTTTTGGATTGATTCACAAATGGGAGGTTACAGTGGCTCCGCCAGGATCCCAGAATACCCTGATAATTAAGATGTAGTTGACTGGGGTCCCTGAGACCAAGAATGACCCAGTGCTTCTGGCCTCAGCAGAATTTGCTTGTTACTTTTATTAAGCCGTTTCTCCTCATGCAGCGAAGATCTGGGTTAGACAGCAGACCCTGGACTGCAGCTCTGCTGCTGGTTCAGAACACAGCCATTGCGGGGGACAGGCACCTGAATTCCTCAGGAGTCATCCGTACCACTGCTACCGTGACAACCCTGATTCAGTGCACTTACAATCTGCCATGCAGGCTAGAATGGACTTTTACCTTCAACATTGATAGGCTCCAGGTCTGGCTCTATGTAAAATCCAACAAAATTATAAAATTTCCAGTTTCCATTTCAATACATAAGGAATAGTATATTAGGCTTACTAAAAATATCAAGTCTACAGTATGTGTCTGAAGCACCCATTTAACTAAAACAAACCCTAGACCAGTAGAAGCTAGAACAATAGAAAGTAAGAGTAGAAAAACAAAACATGAAACTCTCTTTTAAACATAAATAAATTACAGTTAATACATCTGCTAGAAGGACAGTCACATTGAAGTGGAAATGGGGGGCAGGTGAGAAAGGAGGTGGTCTGAAAATCCTTCAAAGAAACTAAAAAAATCAGCATTTCAAGCCTGTGGTCTCATATGCACCCCACTGAAATCAGCAGGTGCCACGGTAATGTATACATGGATATATAGCAATAATTAACAGCAAATAGAATTACACGCTATGTGAAGAAGCACCTTATGTGTCTCAAGTGATTAACCTGAATTATCTGTTAATTCCTTCCAGCTTCACAAAATAGCTGGACCTATTAAGATCAAAGGAGATAAACCCGCTACATGACCCCTGTGATCTCCCCCTCTCTCTGGTTCCAGGCACAAATCCTGTGGCGGATGGACCTAACTGCCTTGGCACAGAGCTCCTCTGTGCAACTTGTACTCATCCCTCTAGGAACAAGTGAAGCCCCGGGGATCTAATCCAAGGCTATCTCACTTTCCATTAAAGGACAACTCACAGAACCCAGTGCCAGATCCCGAGTAGTATCCTGTAACCGTGGTGGTAATTCATTAGTTCATTAGTTGTACCTCAGTGCTGGCACAAAACAAGTATTTGCCACAGAGTCCTGAATTTTTGGTATGATTTCTATTAGGTATTATTTTCTTTTCAGTCACTTTTCCTGCTGTGAAACACTGTTCTCTCAAAGTTTTTATTTAGCACTTTTACATACACCTTTCCTGTTATTTTTTGGCTAGCAAGGGGTCTATCTGGCATTTACATCATTAAAATATTCATTGTTCTCATCAGCAAAAGGCCTGGAATAAAATATGGCTTCTTTAAGTCCTGTCAGTGAAACTTCCATTTTTAGTTTGGTTCCAGTCAGTAGTGCTATATGTGGCACAAAAGTGGCACTGTATCTTTTTTTCTGATACTTCTCAGATTTCCCTTCTTTCACACAGAAAAGAATTAAAAATACCCCCACTTTATATATCAACTTCTAAAGTTTGACCCTGACACACAGTAAAGGCATGCAAGAAAGACTGGTTCAAAAGACTTATAAACCTACTCAGAATATTTTCAGGTGAGAATTCTAAGCAGAAACATTCAAATTTTTAAAAAGTTAACTGAAGACAAGCAATTTCTGGAAGTGTTTTTACATAATTAACTGTTTATAAATACAGATTAATCAAGATGGTTTGGCAGATTCCAGTTTATCCAAGTTAAGTAACCACGGCGTGCTTCAAATGCTAACCATAATTTATTTAAATATGATTCAAAATACTAACCAGAGGTTTATAATTCAGTTCAGTTAACTGAAGCACTCAATTCGTTTCACCACCAAACTCTGACTATTTAAACTGACAAGGCTATTTTGGTTGCTATTTTGTGAGACAGGCTGAGAGAACTTGCTGCAAGCACTTGGTGATCTTTAACTGCCACATTAACACTTCAAACTGCAGTTATCAGGGCAAAGGGGCCAAAACCACCCCAAGAACAAGGAGTGGAGAATTATAATTAGCTCCTGAAAACAACAGAATATTCACTCACTTAATTTCTTAGGAAAAAATATCCATTCCCTGTGGTCAGCCCCTTCAAAGAATTTTTCATGTTTATCTTTGTTGCAGTTAAGTAGTCTGAGAAGTTTAACATGTTATAAGAAAAAAAGATGTTTCTGAGCCGGTATGCTATGTTTTATTGGCTATGCAACCTCATAGCCCCAATCCCACAGAATCTTTACCTTCCCTTACTTCGTTCCCTACATCTATAACTTCATTTCCATCACCTCCATATCCCTTGCCATCTTTAGCCTTGTTTCTGCAGCCGATTTGTAAACCCTTAAACTTTCACGAGTTTGATGGCAACTATCCCTACACAGAGTCACAGGGATTTTCCCATACTGATCAGGCTGTAATCTTTTGGGAGCAGGAGCCAGAGTTATTTTGGCTGTAAAATGTCTAACATGTTTCGGTTGCTAGGTAAACAATAAACTGTATACACGATGCTTGGGTGAGCCATTCAGAATACAATTATAGTTATCTGGTTAGTCGTTTCTTCACCCGATCACACGGTAATGACTGTGCCACTTAGGAGATAAGACTTTCACTGTCTCACTTTGCCGCTCAGGTGAAATCAAGAGAAGAGTTTGACCTTTATGTTTTATATTGGCCCCTTAAACCGTTAACACTGCGCGGGGACACACTGGCGAGCTTACTGTGTAAGTGCAACACCTAGCAGAGATGCTTTTCTCGTAACCCGCTCCTAAACATTAAGTAAAGCACGCACGAAGTAATGCAAATATTGCAAATTTGCAAATATTTTTTCCTAACAGGACTATACCTAAACTCCTGGACAATGACATAGAGTCTAACAAGCCGAGGAAACCTATCTGCATACAACACGCGCTCTCTCACGCAGGGCTGCGAGTGGAAACAAGCGACATACGTAGCAAATACCGTCTTCCATTCCACCCGGGGAAGCATCAGGAACGAGAAGTGTCCCGGCCCGGGCAGGAGCAGTGACGTGGGGCAGGCCCCGCCAGCCTGACTGCGCAGCCTTTCACTCGCCACACGTGACGGTATTT